CCACCCCCGCACCCATACCCAGGATCTGGGGGCGCTGAACCCACAGGGGAACCGCCTCCTCCCCCCAAAGCACTCACCGGTGCTGTGCCTCTTGCGGCTGCGCCCCAGCCACAGCCCCACGTGTTCATCGTCCAGCAGTGAGAAGGCCAGGACGATGGTGAGCAGGTTGAAGAAGTTGTAGTTGCCCGTGAGGATGATCAGCACCTGCAGCAAGACCTGCAGGGACACTGGGAGCTCAGAGCCAGCCTGGCCCCCTCCCACCCAGACCCTGCAGGGTAGGAGCTCTGCATGGTACCGACTGCTGCACGGCCTCCCAGCCCCATTCAATCTCTGCTGCTCAGATGCACATGGCAGCAGCAGGACCCTCCTCCTGCTGGCACCAGGGACCACAAGGCCAGGACTGTAGTGCAGGGAGATGCCCGGGGCTGGACCGTGAGGGACAGGCCTGCTTTGCCGTGGCTCCGAGCCTCTGGCTGTGGGTGTCGATGACAGCAGGACCCTGCTTTTGCCCTCAGACCCTCAGGCATCAGTTTGCCCCCTGCAGCAAGGCTGGGACCCACACAGCCCATGGGGCAGGCACAGGGCCCTGGAGCCCCCAGGCCCAGCTGGACCACGCACCTGGCAGTAGAAGGCGAAGAGGCGGAGGCGGCGGATGGGCGCGAAGAAGAGGGGCGGCACCGCGATCTCGATGACGTAGGTGGCCACGACACTGAGCTTCTGGAACCAGATGGGCAGCTGGTGGGCATACCAGGCAGCCGGTGTGGGGATGCACTGCGTCTCGTAGTGGTAGGTCAGGGCTGCGGGCACACAGCAGGCCCCCGGGGCAGGTGGTCAGAGCGGGGCAGGTGCCTGGCACGGAGGGTAGCAAGAGGGTCTGGAGCAGGAGGGGGCAGGGCTGGGCAGGGGACAGGGTGTGGGGGCAGACAGAGGGACACCACCCGCAGACCAGGCCATAGAATTGGAGTCCTGGAGTAACGGGGCTGGCAGGGAGCTGCGAGGTCGCATCCCATCCAAGCCCTGCCTGAGACAGGATCAGCCCCGTCCAAACCAGCCCAGACTTTACTGTGCGAGGCGTTGGAGCTACACGACACAGCCGTCCCCGACAGCCCCAGGCATCGCCCCTGCCATACAAGGGGGCCACCAACATCCTGCTGCTGCCAGGGGGGTCATGGATGTTGCAGAGATCCCAGGCCGAGGCCATGCCCCCACTACAGAGGAAGGCAAAACCCTGGAGGGGCAGCATGGCCCAGTGGGCGCAGGGGACTGGGACTCTGCTACCAGCACCAGGGCCTGCCCGGCTGGCCCCGGAGGGGAAAGCGGGGCCCTCACCTGTGAGCCCCCACCAGGTGGGGCAGCGGCTGGTCAGCTTCACCACGCCCGAGGCGAACATGAGCCGGAAGAGCAGCCAGCGCATCAGCCAGAACGGGAGCCCGTCGTGGGGGCGCCAGGCCGTGCTGCGCCACTTCAGCAGGTGCAGCGGAGCCACCAGCACGGCCAGGAAGCCCGTCTCCAGGAGCAGGCTGTCCCTGCGGGGAGAGGCACGGACGTCCCCAGGGGTCAAACCTAGGGGGCTTCGGCCGGAGGAGACGCAATATCCAGCGCCTGCCGGAGATGCCGGCCCCGGAGGAGCCGACGAGGGCACGTCCCGGTGGAAGGGCAGTCACAAAGGGCTGTCCCCCACAAGTGGGCACTCAGGCCTCAGTGGGGGCAGGACCCAGGACCCTGCACAGAGCTGCTGGGATGGGAGCCGTCTTCCTCACTGCTTCTGGAGTCCGTGTCCCCACCCCCACCCCTGAAGCCCCTGTGCCAGAGCCCCAAATGCCTCCATCATTGCAACCATGATGCAGCCCTGACCTTGCTCACGGAGCCGCGGGAGGCCATGACAGCCACGTCCCGGCTCCCGCGTCACATCTCCACAGGCTTAGGCCACGTGTAGGATGAGACGCGTCATTCCCCTCCCTTCTCCTCCCCGCCTGGGGGGGGGGCAGCGCGTTGCTGAGATCAGGGGGCTGCTTGGATCAGGACAACACCAGCTTTGCTCCGAACTCTGGGCAGCGAGGGTGCCACGCAGGCCCAAGGCCCAGCTCCCACATGTGCACACGCACATGCACGCGTGTGGACAGGCCAGCATGGGCAGGCACTTACCACTGGAAGTACAGGAACACCTGCCCCACCTGCGGAGAGAGGGAGAGGGCTGGGGTGAGAGGGCACGGAGAAAGGGAGGCAGCGACTTCCGGCCCC